ATTTAAAACCTGCAGATAGTAATTCTACTCATTATTTCATTCTTCGTAAATTGCTCTACTATTGCTCATACACATGATATTAGTGATAATTCTCCTTTATAGGATAATATATTACATCAAAATCGCAATTAGTTATGAAAGGTAATAAGTGAGCTACAGCAAAAGTTGAGTAATCAAGAACAAGAATTAGGTGTTCTGAAAAAAAAAGTAAGTGATCAACAGCAGAAGATAGATGTACAACAAAAACAATGGAAAAATTACCAACATTTTGCCAAAGTAAAACAAGTTCTGATCAATGAAAACCATTTGACTCTTTTACGCGTAGAATTCTTCTTCATATCAATACAACTTCATATTAATTCAAACAAATGCCTACCTATTTTACAAGTCTTTTCGGCAATACCAATCATTGGATAGGAACAGGAATGACAACAGTCTATGAGAAAATATTAACTGGATTCACAGTGTATCTTTTACTAGAGTTTCAACAAGAAATGATAGAGCAAACCCTGACAATTTTACCAGTGCGAAAATGGAAATTAAATTAGTTTGGTGTTACACAAGGAAAATAATATTTGAATTAGGCAATGATCGAGTAAATAATTCTCACTTTTCAGTAGTGTCTCTTTTCTCAGAAGGAAAATAAACCTTCTGTTAAAATCAATATTCAGTAACATAAGTTTTAACACACAAATGTTCTAAACTAGCCACGTGATCATGTTTTAATCTTCATTTTTCTTCCGTCACGGTGGATGTTAAGCTATTTAATTTTTCCAACGGATAGTTCTGAGTATTTTCTTCTATATCTCTGAATATGACCCTCAGAATTTTTGAATCGATATATTTGCGAAGATTTAATCGTATCACAATAATAGCTATTTTTTCTTGAGAAAAGAAATTGACGCAAAACTCACCTTTTCAGATGGTTCTGGATCCATTTCATAGTCAACGTTCTAGACCTCATCTCAGTCTACTATGTAAAGCATTGGCTTCACAATGATGTAACTTTTTCAGCAATCTCATAATCACAAAAATTATCAAAACGGTTTTGAGTAGAATTGATTCTTCGACATCACTAGAAACTATTTTAAACATCATTTTATACAGATTCAATTTTACGTATTTTGAATTTGATATGTACAAATATAGTATAAAGTGTGCGGGACTATCCCATTAGGTAAAGTCCTAACACTTAATACTGGCTACTATTGGATAAAAGTGAATATCAAAAAGATATCACGAGATGATTCGATACTATTTTGAGCATCTGTAAATATAAAAATCAACGTATTCGGATGCAGCACAAATCAATATCAACTAAAGAAGCTAAACAATCTCAATAAAGCTGAATCAAATATGTTCGGCAGATTTCTGCATGAATTCCACTGAGACAAGTGTCATGATATAATATCAGAAATTTATACTATCATTTCATTAGACATTCATAGTGATGAAGTAGAGAACATATGAACAGTAGAGGTCACATTAAAAATATTGGACTATTCCCAATTCAATATATTATCGGTTTGTAACCTATCAAATGTAGTCTATTCATGATGTTCGAAATAATGGTGCAATCCAGGTATTCATTTTATTAGTAAAAGTCCTGTTCTCTCACTATCTATCATCTATCAGAAGTTGATTTCGAGGTGAACTTTGATGAGTTAACAAACTATAGTTCATTCATTCCTATTTAACATAAAAACCATTTTAGTGAAAGCAAACAAGAATAATTTTTTATCGATTTCGTATCCTGCGTTGTAATGTTCTTGACTTAAAAAATCTTGATATCTGAAGACAGACATGCAATGCTCTTAATCATTTTGCAACAACCTCGTCCGTTAGGGTGAAAGACTTTTCTATCTATTAATGACATCTCTAAATTATTTTTCTTATTTCAGTTCTACAGAGATCGTCACCATGTTCGATTTACCTCTATATGGAAAGTATGGAATCTATTCCTACAATTGAAGTACTAGATTAATTTTGTAAATGGTCTCATATAAAAGATGATCTGTGTATGTATGAATGATTTTTATGTAACAGATCAGGCGTATAGAGAACAAGTGAATGAAACATTGATGTTTGCTACATTCTTATTCGGGATTTGTGATTTACTCGAAAAACGAAATTAGATACTGTGTTTCGCTATATCAGGCGGTGTCATATTTTTTGGTTTTCTTTTCAACGTTTCGTAATAAAAATAGAAGTATACGATGTATGTTGACCTGTTTTGGAGAAAAAAAACCTAACCATTGATTAATAAAAGTGTCAGTCCAGAGCAGAATTTCGAATATCATTTTCAAGTTTATTCACAGAAATGAATCTCTCATTTTTCTTTGCAATCAAACTGACCAACATGATCGTTAATCTTCTCGACAACTGTCAACTTAGTTTGAACTTGAAAACAATGGTTATTTATTTTTTAAATATCGATTTGTTATTGCTCTACTCAGAGTCATTCATTCAGATGTATTAATTGACAACTAATCATTTTTAAACATAATTATATTCGTTTATTTTGTTCAGACATTTACCTTCAAAATCTCGAAAGCAATTATCAAATTTGCATAATAAGTACAAAGATTTGAATTTTTTGCTTTCAATTCAAATATTTGTCCCGAAATTTCGATCATATCAAATCATTCTTATCAGAAAATGATCTCATCGACATTGATATATGGCAATGAGAAAAGCAACGACCTATTGGTATTTGCTTGAAGTGTGGGTTACAGTAAAAACTCTGCTGACCTAGGTGTAGTTAGATTTTCACTTCTGACAGTTGACAATCGAATCTTTGATTTGACATCGACTAACAATTGTTTAAAGTTTAATTATGACGAAATCAGAATTTCAAAATCAGCAAACATGTTTTCATCGAAAACAAGGTTTGTTTCGATGCCGTTCGAGCAACTTCGGAAAAGTGTTTGATATTAATATTGGTCAATTGGCCAGCAGTGTTCAGACTTCCGAAAAAGGAAATTTTGGAAGTTTCGGAAATTTCAATCACTTGTGTTCTAAATTGTTTAGTATTTCCCAAAATCATGTAATTTCCTTTTTTGGAAATCTGAACATACCTCAATTGGTCAGATCAGTTTTATTTCGATATTACCACATGCAATGATTTCTTTTTGAATTTGAATTTATACTTGTAACCAAAACGACTCTTCTATTGAAATTCATTTCATTCTACTTGATTCGTCTTTTTTTTCCTAATTTTGTTTCAAGTACCGAACAAGCGGAAAAAAATTCGCTTCGAATCGTGAATATTCTAAGAGAATTCTCGTGCCGATAAAAACATTAATAAAACACAACTATCAAGTGCTTTACAATTCCAGATAGTAACAATACTAGAGTCACTAGTTGACAATGTCATGAATCTAGAATTTTTTGGATAAGTTGAAGTAAGAAAATATTGTTTATCTAACATCAGTTACATACAATCAGTTTGTTGACTTTTTTAATGAAATATAAGAAAATGTTGTTTAACAAAAAAAAATAATAATACAACTATTTCAACATAAATAACTAATAAATCTTCTGTAATGTTCTAAAAGGAATCAGACATTTGACTTCTTCCTCCACATCCTTCACATGGCAAGCTGACACCATAGGTACCTAGAAGAAATCCACAAAGTTGATATATTCGATCAAAGATCATTAGTTTTTTTTTATTAAAAAAAAAAAAACTGAAATACATACATTTATTACATACACCACAATGCCATTCTCTCCACTTCAAACATTCCTGACATACTATACAATGCCAATAGCAATCTTCTTGGAATAAATCATTGTGACAAAATGAATAATAATGCATTGTTGTATCATCTGATAGAAGCATTCGAAAAAGTTTTTGAGTATGAGCCAACTTTTCATTTTCACTAATTGTTTGCCATTTCTTCGTCCATGCTTCTAAATCTTCATCATAAGACATATCTGGAAAACTAAATATTCACATATGATAAATATTAATATGAATGTTAATATAGAAAAATGAAGCAAAACAAAACAACAACAATATTTAAATAACTGAATGTTTTACCTGGGACATTTCATGATCAATTGACGTAATTCATCACGATCGATCAATTTAAAACCATCTGTATTTTTAGCATGTTCAACAAGCCATCTAGCAAAACAAGGATTTGCGGCACATTTATTATTATCATCGCCAAAGAAATATTCAAGATGATTGAACATATTTCGACAAGATGAGCCACATCCACATGATGAATTACATCCACTACCAAATTTAAAGCAACAACAAGAACGTTTCGAACATCCTTTTTTACACTTGCATTTTTCCTTTTTTTCATCATTTGGATTTTTCTCTGTTATTTGACCATTCTTTGGACCAGTATTTTCTTGTTCGTCTGAGTCTTCATCATACCACATTGTCGATATTGTTTTAGTTACACAATAGATAAATGGAATTTTCTAGAATTAAAAGAACAATAAATAATATGAAACATTGATTGACTATCTTATATTCTTATCTATATGAAATTTTAGTCGTTCTTCTTTTTCGCTCGTTTTTGAACTTCTTTTGTTCACAAATCGGTATTATACAGACAGTCAATAAGAGTATTTAAAGAAAATTTATCGATTGAAATTAGAAGAAGGTACATTATATCATTTCATCACATGCTTATAAAACAGGTTAATTTTGAAAACGAAAGATGCTTTTAGATTTCGTTCCTTTTATTGAGAGATGACGCTATGACATGGTCTTAAAGTCCATATAACATTGTTTTCTCGCGCGGTAAACTCAATACCAAAGTAAATCTTTTTCTAAAAACTCTTTTGAAAAAAAATGTAACCTACTTCTAGCTTCCATCCATTCAAAGAAAAACCATAATTAAACTTCTTACGTTGCAATACACTCACAAGATTGAAACGTACCAGGATTTCTAGCTCGTCATGTCTTAATAAGATGCTAGTATCCTTTGATGACATCATTTATTTGATCACATATTGAAAAAAAGTATATACAAGAGTACAATAAAAACAACTCGAGCTAACCAAACCAATTTTCTGCTGACTATTTTTTCGAGAGACACCATGAAAGTATTGATTTAGGTTGCAATCCCCTCGAAAAAGTATATTTTCGCCAAAAAATGATTCTAGAGCCATCAATACAAAGAGATCGACTTTATGTATTCTTAAAATTTTTTTTAAAGACCTTTCTAATAAAATTATTACGCAAATCTGAAAACAATCACAAGATATGAATATTGCTACCTTCTATTAGCTATTTGTGTCATAGTGACAAGTAGATTCAATGCAGATAAAACACATATTCGGAAAAATGACGTTAAAGTCATGGTAAATACCTGATGGTTCTAATCAGTTCACAATGTGTAGCAGAGCTATATTTGACGTCATTATTTAATGATTGAGATTTTGACTCAGAGTTTCAAACTGTATCGACCAGTATAATATCAGAGTGTAATTTACCAATATTCGGTTGGTATCAACCGTTGCTCATCCAGTCAGCTCTGAACTTGTTGAAAAGATATCATCAGTGTACTTTAAATAATGATTCTATAGCATATTCTTTTCAAAGCATCACGATTTAATCATCTAGCTTCTCTTTTTTTTTTTTCATCATTAAGGCAATCGTTCATAATAACAACAAATAGTCAATATTCTTACTTCCATAGTACTCATCATTTCTATTGTATCATGATTTTTGTTTGTATAATAAAGAAAGAAACGATTCCTGCTCTTTCTCATTTTGTCAATGAAATGATACAATAAATACTCATAAAGAAACATACAATAAGAAAGATTCAACTATACTAAAAACTAAATCACATCACATCACAATACACAACACAATAAAATAATAATATAAATAAATCTCACTGTTTAATGTTCTGAACTTATATATGCACACAAATCGACACAACAAACAAAGATACATGGAGAGATTCAAACTAATACAATTGTGAGAAGATATAGCACACAAAAATCCATTGAAGAATATCAGTATGAAATATATACGTCTATACATTTAGGAACTAGAGCAGAAAACAAAAAAAAAAAAGAAACATTTATTAGTGTGCACTGAGCATGATGTTTGCATATGTCTTGTTCAGATAATTAAATAGAAAAGAAAAGTCTTATTGTCTTTGTTTTTATTGTTACACTGCCACTGTCATCTTCTTTTGAATATCATCAATTAATGTATCGCCAACACACTAAAAAATAAAAAATAATTTTTTTATTGAAATATATTCATTGATTGAGAATAAAACATTTTCACAAAAACGATCACAATAATCATAGCTAAGGCACAGACAACATTAAAATTACCCATCATAAAATCTATATTTTGATATTACTCGGCAGACTTATATTGAGCTCATATGTAGGGATAAACTATAAGAAGCATAAAGATTTATCAAACGAAGAAGAAGAAGAAGAAGAACAGAATCAGCATTTCACAATCAACAATTGTATCGAAATAAACAACTTACGGCACAAAATTCATCAAAACTAATTTTACCATCACCATCTTTATCTGCATTAATAATTGTCTATTTAAGAAAAAAAAAATATATATATATATAAATATTTAATGAATAAAAAAAACTATTCATATTACTTTATCAACAATTTGTTGTAATTGTGAATCTTTCAAATTTGAACCAACCATCATTTTTAATACTTGGAATAATTCACCTGAAAAACAAAAAAAAAAAAATAATAGAAATTCATTGTTCATGTTCAACTTCAGATAATTTCATTATTTAGAAATGAATTCATCTGTTTGATAGAAACACAATAGTTAATTTTAGCTCATATTGCAAAACGAGTCTGCACTAGAAATCAGACTAGTTCGAATTAAGAGCTATATTTTTTTTTTTTATTAAATTTCAAAATAATAACAGATAGGATCGAACCATCATCCTACTCAAACTACTATCTTACCACTCAACCAAACTTTTATTAATACAATTTTCTGCCTCTTACATACCATTAGATATATAACCATCTTTATCCATATCATAGATTTTGAAAGCAACTAAAATGAAAATTGAATCATATTATTTAATTCTCTATATTTAATACATACATTTTAATTTTGATTCTTTATCTCCTTTAACACTGAATTGTGAAATACCACCGATGAATTCTAATGAAAACGTTTTTGTTAACTTTGAAAATAATTATCACACACAAAATTACCTTTAAAATCAATTTCTCCATTTCCATCAGTATCAAAAATATCAATAACACGTTGTACAAGTGGATTTTGTTGTAATTCAGGTATAGACATAAATTCTTGTACACTCAATGAACCACTACCGTCAATATCTAATTTTTTAAAACGTTTACCCAATCGACGTATTTCATCCGCATCAACTAGAAATACTCGAATTACTCATCAAATAAATAAAAACATTAAAGAAAAAAAAAACATTTTACATGTAGCACAAAGCTCTACAGGAATTGATGTCATGTTCCCCTGAACAAATAAAACATGTAAAACATTAATTAGTTATTAGCTTTCTTTTTATTCATACCATGTTTAAGTTTAATTAGTTTCTTATATCAGTGAAAAACAATAAGAAGAGTATTTAACGTTAGATAAATAATCTAAATATATATATCGTAATGTTCTCTATTTTTTGTTACCATTTTATAGTTTTGCACTAGAGCCTCAATTATGACAAAAAATATGTATTTCAATAGAGGTCGTATATATTGAAACGATAACAAAAATTCTTTCGTAACAAAAAAAAATAAAAACGTCATATGGTCCGTATTCATTTCAATTCTTCGATTTTATTAATAAGTCAATAAATTCATATTTGGACGATTCATATCTCTTTAAACAATAACACGTAATAGAAAGGTGTTATCGACATATGCGCAGTTTTATTTTTTCTGATTTAGTCATTTCATTTAGTGCATATTAAACGAACAACAATCCTTTTTTCCGAAGTTAATATTTCCCTACTATGACATGTATTTTATTTGTTTTTAGATCTCTATTTTTTTTCTTTGTTGCAAATTAATACAATAATGTCGGGAATAAATACTCAATTAATGAAAAATTCAGATTTAGTTTTGCCATTCGATGGTAATCATGAACGACAACAACATGATCAAGTTGTATTCGAAAATGTTGCTGATCATTATATCAAAGGTGAAGATGTTACAGCTCATTTTACAATTTTAAATGATCTTAAGATCAATTCAAATGATGATCAAATTGGTTTATTACGTGTAAGCTTTGTTTTGTTTTTTATATTCAAACTAAGTTATATATTTTATTAGGTTGGTTCAACAAATATTCAAGAATNAGGTGAAGATGTTACAGCTCATTTTACAATTTTAAATGATCTTAAGGTCAATTCAAATGATGATCAAATTGGTTTATTACGTGTAAGCTTTGTTTTGTTTTTTATATTCAAACTAAGTTATATATTTTATTAGGTTGGTTCAACAAATATTCAAGAATGTTTAGCATATGCACCTGTTCAATTTAATTCATCAACAACATCAGAATCAACTCGTCATGGTACAGCAATATTTTCATCATCATCATTACCTGTAACAGATGATGAATTTTATCAATTTTGTTATATTATTGATAAACGAAAATGTTTTGGTTCATCAATTCCATTTCAATTAAATTGTTCAATTGATGATATTGATTTATTAACAAGTACATTAGTAGAAGCATCATTAGAAAAAAGATCCATGCAAATGAATAATGATGGTCTTATTGCATTACAAGATAATGATAATGATGATCTTGTTATTATACATACAAAACGAATGTTAATTGAAGAAAAATTACGTCAAGAAAATCGTCAATTATTAGAAATAAATCGACGTTTAGAACAACAAAAAGATGAATGTAAAGCTAAACTTGATTTATTAGATTTAAAATCTAATGAATATATTAATAAAGTTAAAAATGATATGCAAGTAAGTAAATAATTAGATAAAATCATACAAACCAAATTGTATAGAAAAACAAAAAAACAAACATATAATGTGAATTATTATTTCTTTTGTTATTTAGGCTCTTGCTGCAAGTCATAAGGTAGCTATTGATGAATTATCATCACGTCAACGTTTGGAAGCTAAATTACGTAAAGAATATGATGTTTGTCGTACATTATGTAATCAATATCAAACTGAATCATTACAATTTGCTGAACGTTGTCGTATACTTGAAGATTTAAATACACAATTATCTAATGAAGAAGATAAATTACTTTCTGAATTATCAATAAAAACAAAATTAAATGAAGAACAATCAATACAAATGACTGATTATGAAAAACGTTTATTACAATCAAATGAATTATTAAAAGCAGCAAATAAATATCAATCACAATTAGAACAACAATTACGTGATTTACGTTTAACAACAGAAAAATATCAAATGTCAATGCAAGGACAAATTGATGCATATACAAAACAAGCATCACAACAAGAAAATCAAATACATGCATTAGAAACAGCAAATAGTTTATTAAAAGAAGAATTAAATTCAGTTAAAACTGATAATACATTTTTATTAACAATGGCTAAACAAGATAAACAATTAACAAATGAATTACAACAACAAATAAATGATTTAAATGAAAAATATCAATTAGATAATGAAAAAGTAAAAGAAAAATTTGAAAAAAAAAAAAAAAAAATTTATTGAAATTTTTTTTTTTTTTCGTTTTTTTTTAATTTAGAAACAAAATGAATTAGAAAAACTTCGAAAAGAATTCGAAGAAATAAACGAAAGTCAAAATGATTATATGATATTAAAAAATTCATTTAATGAAATTGAAAAACGTTGTGTTAAACATCAAAAAAGTGAAATTGAAGTTAAAAAACAATTTGCAATCTATAAAGAATTTGTTGTAAGTAAATATTCATATTAAGTAATCTTCCATTCTTGAAATATAGAAATTTTACTGAGTTTTTTTTAATAAAAAGATATAAACAATCGAATTTCGTTACTCTCTTGTAAGTCTTTATTAGTCTGTGTTTTGTTTTTCTTAGGGTGACTTAGAACGTAAAGTTCAAGATTTAACTGAACGATTATTAGCTGGTGGTGATGAATATAAAGCTCTTTATCGTAAATATGCAGCAATTTGTCCTTGCATTGACATTTGATATTTTTCTGTTGTTAAACGTAAATCACGTAATTGTTGTTCTAATTGTGAT